GCCATGACAATAACAGTAATGTATAAGGTGAAGAAAAACCCAAAGATGGCAGTATGCTATCGACTGCTTCGCTTTGTGAAGCTTTATCCACTCAGTTGGAAAAACCTGAGCTATACATACAAAACGAAATTATTCTATCACTTCTACTTTCATGGGAATAAACGTTTTGCTTCCTTTCAAACTGATTTCCCATTTCTTTGTTGGTTTGTTTGCTCTTATACGTCTTTTATTTCTATTCAGCTCACTCTCACATAATTCCTCACTTGCCTTCATTTCAATGTGCATCATGATCACGACTTACTTAATCATTGAATTATTCCTCTTGATACATCACTCGAATACAGTTGATCAACTCCTTCGATGCAACAACAACAACAACAACTGTGATCGTGACAGCTGATCACTTCTGTTGCCGTCCTTCTTCATGAAAACAAAATTGTGTATAAATGTAACTGCACATCGGAAGCGGAAGATGAGTCCTCCAAGAAGAGCCACTACTCTGAAATATATGTGATCTGTTTCCATGAGCATGTCTGCAAGGCGATATATTTCATGAAAATATCAGCAACATTGAATTTTCCGCCATACCCGCAAATTGTCTACATGACTACTCAATTCAAATTGAACGTCGGTCGGATTCTTCCTGCTAATCAGTACCTCCATACTGTAAATGTCTCTTCATGAAAAAACAAAAACGAAAAGCAACTCAACATGAATCACACTCATGAAGCGCTGAAATCAATCATACAATATGACTGACTCAACATACAAGAATACTTCTTAGGTGTTATTAGGACGAAAAGAGTTCTTGAATATATGAATTTATTCGCAAAAGATCTAATCTTCAGAAGGAGAAAATAAGAATATTGATTAATTAGAAACATTTAAGCAGAGAGTGTTTGAATGGGTACAGTTGAAGGTGTTTTTCAGTTATGCATTGAGAGTATGGAGTGTGTTATTTTGCCAATTGTCACTGCAGATCCAATAGGGGGTCTTGAACAGCCATACTTTATCGTTTTAGCTTACCAAGTAGTCTATCAAGGATAACCTTTTCGAATGGAGGTTGATGCCAGCTATGACAGTCTCTGTGGAAAAAGCGAGAGAGAGAGAGAGGAAAATAATAATATTGATGAGAATCAAGCCATGAATACACATCAGAATCAGTTTCGATGAATTCAATGTACAATATTGGATTATTTGTAGTAGATAGTGTTAGTGTTATATATCTACAGTGAGAATCATTTGTGTCGGTGGCTGTAGAAGGGGCATCAATTCTAGTGGTGTTTATCGTGCACAGAAGTGAATATGTCTGAGACGGAGAAGAACATGTCGCCAAAGGAGTGTGCATAAAGGAAAGGAGATAAATTGAATACATACAGTGGAGACTGCAGAGTGAAATAGAGTGCAAAGTTTTCACTGATTGGTGCATTGGCGCGTGTGTTCAGAGCAGATTAAAACCAATCGGCAACCGTCGAAGAGCCAGTTGAAGAGGATTTTGCAATTCAGTTACTAATTAAAACTCTCGGATGTCTGTATGTCTCTTCATGCGAATACCAAGCTGAATATCGTATGATTGAGGTTTAACCAGTGAAAGATAACAATGGAAAGCCAATCGCCAAAGTAGTGGAGCTAAGAAAACATTGAGCTGAACGCTTCAAAAGACTTCTTTATCGACCGCCACCTGCAATGCGCGCAATAATACCAACAATGGAAAAAGAACTATCACTGGACATCAACCCTCCGACGAGAATATAAATCCTAAAAGCAATGAAGTTGTATAACACCGGAAAAGCAGCAGAAATACACGGAATCCCAACAGAGGTATTACAAATAGACCTAGAGACATCAGCGGAATCCATGACACCACTACTGGAGAAGGTATGGAATTGATGACATCAGTACTGGAGAAAGTGAGGAAAGAGGGCTAGATACCTGCGGATTGGAAGAAAGGATAGTTGTTCAAACAGCCGGAATGAGGAGACTAAAGTCAATACAAGAGCTGACATGGCAGTATGCTCCTGTTCATCCAAAGCAGAAAACTAAATCGCATTATTCTGGAGGGAATCAAACACACTCTAGACGAAACACTTCAACAGAAACAGACAGGTTCCAGGAGGAACAAATCATGCATCGATCAAAGTGCGAAACACTTCGAAGCATCATTGAATACAGCTTGGAATGACATGCAGCTCTTTACCTCAACTTCATCGATTTTGAAAAGGCCTTCAGCAGACAGCGTCGATCGAGAAGTGATTCGACAACAACTTCGCTACTACCAAGGGGTGCCGGCATCAATTAAACACCTCACACAAAATTTGTGCGACAATGCTGCATGCTAAGTAATCCAGGACAGGAAGTTCACGGAATGCTTCAAGAAAGTAAAGACAGAAGTGACATAGGGTTGCCTGCTATCTACAATGCTTTTCCTGATTGTTGTGGAATGGAAAATGAGACAGACAGTGGGCAGCGAGGAAACAGCCATTCAATGTATGACACAAAAACCTGGAGGATCTCAACGTCGCCAACGATATATATCTGATTTACCACAAACTGGGAGATGTGCAAGTGAAAAGCGACACGTTGGCTGCAGAATCATCCAGTGACGATAGGCCTTCAGGTGAACATAAAGAAAACAGAGGTATTGACAATTCCTAGTCAACAGTAACAGCAATAATGACAGACAACATTCAGCACAAATGTGAGAAATCAGAAACAAGCATCCTCCTTCACCTATCAACCTGGAAAGCATCCTTTCAACTTTACGCGAAATGACGAGGATATCCAATCGGAGATCAAGGAAACAAGGCAAGCTTTAACTTCTCTCAAGTCTGTGGTGAGGTCGACAGCACTCAGAATGAATAATAAGATCCGGATCATCAGCTCCAGTGTGAAGTTAGTGCTACTATATGGATCTGAGACTTGGACAGCGCGTAACGAACGGCACTTCGAACAAACTACGGACTTCCGTCATTAGCCGTCTTCGCTCATTACTACTCAAGATCAGATGGTCAGAATCGATCAGCTACAGGGATCTCTAGGGGAGAACCAACTAGGAATCAGGTACGCGACAAGTGTGCAGAAAGTACTGGAGGTGGATTTGCTGCAATCTTAAAAAGCCAACAAGTGGCATCACACACCCGGCCATCGCTCGAGTGAAAGCTGAATAAGAAGCGGCGATTCGATCGTCAGTTCGAGAGTGACATGGTGGAGCTTATGCAAAGAGGAGATGAAAGCATGCGAACAGGCTTTGAGGCAGGTGAAATCACTGACAGAAAACCGAATGCAATGGACACGTGCATCTGAAGCCCTTTTGTTTTCTCTAGGAATTAAATGAAATAATAATAGTATTAATAATGAGTTTTTATACCCACACCAGCATAATTTCTAAGTGAAGTCTTTCTGCTTTCACACTCGCATATATATAAAAGACGCAAGTTGCGCATAGTAAAGAGGGATGTTCTATATCAGATGAAATATGTTCATCCAAAAGTTAACAAGGATTCATGTACCTATTGACACTTATGTCTCAGCCTACAATTTTTCACGTGATATGACTTTGTCTGATTTTGCGGTGTCCATTGAAGAATAATTGAGTTGAACAATGAAGAAGAATAGGCAGAATACATCAATTGATAAATTAGTCAGACGAAATATTTCCCTAGAAATCGACAATTTATGAGACGACTAACAGAGATTCAAATAGATGGAAGCAGATACAAGACATGTTCAGTTTTTTCACTTTCACAGTGCCGTAAATAATAAGAACAATCAATCTGCTCGAGTCTTGCACAATGAAATCAGCAAACTCTATGACATTTAGATGGATTTGGTTGTACACAATTTTGAGTGCAACTATTTGTTAACTACAGATAGGAATCTATTCATGTGAGAAGAATGCAATTTAGAAGACACTGGGACGGAGGTTGTTAGTTCATCGGCGTAATGAGTGAAATGAGCCTCGGGAGAATATGTAAGATCATGCAAAGCTAAGATAGAAATTGAGAATGTACAGCGCTCTAAAGGCATATCAGTTCCCGTTAGCAGAGCATTTTGACGCTGTTGATTTAAAGCAATATTTTGTCCTCGACCAAATGCACTGAGCTCTACGGAAGCAAGTGAGCACTTTTGCAATCTAAATGAACCACAGATGGTGGGTGAGTAAACGTCAATATTACGTGTGTATTATCTACGATATTTCTTATCTACTTCGATTTCATTATGTTCCCACCAACACCCTGTTTATAGTGGTGGTTTCATTACTAATATTATTATTATTATCACTATTTTAAATCTTATGTAAGTACAAAATTACAAAAACGGAGCTAAATTGTTGCAATATGTGAAGAAAAGACGCTCAAAATTCTATTCTGTATAACTATTATTGTTGTTGTTGTTGTTGTTTGGAATAAAGTGATTAATTAACATTATCATTATTTCACATCCTTCTGTGGAGCTGATTACATTGGAAGTTGTATGCGAATTCCCCTCCCCCCCACACACACATACACATGTTTCCCCCACCCCCCTTTGTTCCGCTTGTATTAGTTAGTTAGTCAGTTAGTCAGGGTTGCATATATGTGACCTGATATGTGTGACGGTAGTGGTGGTGGTGGTGGTCTGCAAATGAAACATCTATTTATTAACATTTTACTTCACAGTATAATAAAGGTTTCTGTATTTCCCAATGAATGTAAAACAAAACGATATTTGTATTTTTCATTTATTTGGAAATACAAAACACCTTTATTATAATGAATAGCATATACCCAATGCCCAATTTTCATCAAACTGTTCAAAGTGAACTTGGTTTGGACACATATATAACAATTTACCTATTATTAATTATGACAAGTATCCTATTTCACCTCTGTGTGTGATATTTCTGTTTTCACTCAATACCACCCCCCACCAACTCCAGTTTGGTTCATTTTAATTTTTAGCTTAATACAATCTACGTTCTTCGTTACATTTCGTTCATTCATTCACTCATGACAAGCACATTATGTGTTATCATCTATAGTAGTAGTAGTAGTAGTATTAGTAGTAGTAGTAGTAGTAGTAGTAGTAGTAGTAGTAGTAGTAGTAGTAGTAGTAGTAGTAGTAGTAGTAGTAGTAGTAGTAGTAGTAGTAGTAGTAGTAGTAGTAGTAGTAGTAGTAGTAGTAGTAGTAGTAGTAGTAGTAGTAGTAGTAGTAGTAGTAGTAGTAGTAGTAGTAGTAGTAGTAGTAGTAGTAGTAGTAGTAGTAGTAGTAGTAGTAGTAGTAGTAGTAGTAGTAGTATGTAACCGAAATTGTATTCTAATATCTCTTTCTGTTTTGTTTATCATTTTCAGTGTATGAAGAGGCTTGTCATCATTATCAGCCTATGTGAATCGTCATGTGAATCATCATCAAATATTCTTACACGAAAGTCAAGACAACTAACTGTATTCTACAGACAGTGCACTCACTATTAAACATGTCTGTCTGTCTGTCTGATATGTTCTATTTCTCATAAATTTTATTTTTGCATTGTTTTACATTTTCGACCTCATTATTTTAACTACTGAACTGTTTTGTCATCAAATTTCGTAACACTGTACTGACGAGATATATATATTTAATTCATCGCTAGTAGAATGCATTGCACTACAATACACTACACTACATTAACCCCACTTCCACCCATCCCACCCTCTATTTGGTTAATGAATTTATTTCACTGTCACCTTTCATATTTGACCTCGCTTGTCTCAACTGAACTGAACTGAACTGTAATCATACTTATTAGGGAGAAGTCTAGACAAGATGATGATAATGATCATATCAAAGTGATAATAATTGAGTCGTCACCACCCTCTACGTATGTGACAGTTATTTGGCGCCCCTCCCTCCCTCCATCCCTATCAGGGTGGGTTCATTTATATTTCCATAATACTATAATTAGTAGTAGTCTTATTTATCACTTACTATCACATCACACCTGTGATAAATATTTAGTCTCATTAGGTGAAATAGACCAACCAGAAACCATCGTTTATGTGTGTAATTCTCTGACTTGTCGACAAGCCTGTAACCATCACACTACCTTCTATTTTTTATTATTCTCCTGTGTAAAACGTACACGTTCGCTGATCGATTAATTGGTAGGTAGGTAGGTACGTAGGTCTGTCTGTCTGTCTATTTTAATTTACTAACATCAAGCCCAATGACGGAATTATTGCTTTTATCCTCACACTTGGCTTATAATGCGATTTCTCAGTATTCACCGCACTTACCCACACACTCACTCACTCACTAGTTAAGCCTATTGCAGTGCTTGTTTATTTTTATTTCACCACTAAAGACATTATTGCTGTTGCAAATCCTATTTTTAAGCTTGGTTGGTTGGTTGGTTGGTTGGTGGGTATTGTCGCATGAATTATATAGCAGTTAGTAGGCGCGCCTTTTCCAATATTACTTACTACTACCTGACTTACCTTCTTCAGCCCAAGATTCATACATTCATGTCCTAATCACCAGAAGTATTAGGAAGAACCTTGAAAGAGCATATTTTGTATTTTTTAGCGGTATTCATCGGGGTATCTCTCATCTTTGCAAATGTGCAAAAAGTAATGACTTTTCTGAGAGACATCTAAGAGACAGACGCTTGTTGACGAAATGACAGACATTTTTAAGTATACAGCTGGCAATGATTAGCTTTACGTTTTATTATGTAGATGCATAATGCAGATGATTTCTAGCTCCGGTAGATGATCTGAATACACTCGTGTACTTACTTCGATCTCGATGGTGTGCGTATTTATGAAGCTCTCATTGGGCTGTTTGTTGCACACTATCTTCACCACCCTGATTACTTCAATTTGGCCTGAGCTTTTGAAATTCTCCATTAGTTTTTTGTGACATCTGTCCTGGTTCCGCTCCTTCCACCGAATATATGCAGCTAGTCATCTATTTGAGCGACAACGATGACGTATGTTCAAGATGTCCAACTAGGAACTAATAATCATATTGTGTCACTTCATAGTAAATAACATAATCCATATTTATATTCCCGTTTTCTTTTCCTTTTTTCATTCTACTGAAATTGGTACATTTTAAGCATCCCATCCCATCCCACTTGAATCACTATTGCTTCTTAAAACCATATAAGGCACATTTCGAATAGACCACACCAACCGTTGACTTCTATCTGAATTAATGAGGTTGACTATGACATGGAATGAATAGTACCGACTACTGGTGACTGCATCTGACAATTTCTTCACAAACACTTCAGCTACTTATCTGTTGATAGCATTACTTATTTATTTACTAATTAATGGCTCTTTTTTCTCTCGTTTCGACGAGTGAATACCTTAGGATATTGGATATGTTGTTGCTTACCAGCTGAATTCTATTCTTTCTTTTTCCTTTACAGTCAGTGAAACATTCCTGGCCTAATCTGTCAGTGTACTATTACTGCACAAAATACTGTAAATACTGTAATCTCATTATGGAATTAGCAAGTATTTGTCATACACTAATGGCCTCACTGTTGTTAATAAATTCCTTTAAATGGTTGCAGACAGAACATTGAGAATTTCAAGTAGACTGTCTCATAAGACCAAATGATCTTCAGGGCGTGGATTTGTGTCTCTATATCTTCTGATAGGAATATAGTGTGATGGGCAAAGTGTTTGGAAAATCCCTGCTGCTGGACGATCTATTACCAATATTTATACTTTACTTATTTAGACGTTCCAACCAACGCTGCATTTATTACACGTATTTTCTCTAGACCGTGTACCATTAGTTTGACATTTCCAAATCGCATGTTGATTTTGAGCTTTTTCGTTATTCGCCTTTGTCCCTCCCTGCTCAGTAGCCGAACCTAATAGTTCCCTCCGTGTTTATTCTCTTTCTGATGAATGCTTCTCTTTGTGGTTGTGGTAACCACATTGACAATGTGCTGTTCAACAACATAAGTTTGTTTGAGTGAGTGAAGATCATTCGGACTAGACTAGACCAGACTAGACTGTGTGCGGGAAGTGTCGGTGTGATTCTTGTGGACAAAGATTTTGATCCCATCTCATGGGGAATATTCCCCTCTATCTTAAGGTACGTACGTTTTACAGTTGAACTTCGGTTAACTAATTTTCTCTTACATTGCTTGTATTGTGTTTAGAAACATAAATTGTGATTATGGCTGCCTCATAGTAGGTAGGTAAATTTGAATTTGATTTTAATATTGTTCAATAGAACTGCTAAACCATACCAGAATAATCGTCTTCTCCCTGCGTTTGGAACACTTTGTGATAGTGCGTATCTCAACGAAGTTCAGTCTGATAAAGTCAATACTGCAAAAAGTGTGAATTGTCGGTGTTTTTACCTAGACATGCCTGTTTCAGTCGTTTGGTTTCAGATTCTTGTAAATGAATCCGACTGAGTAATTGTCTTCCATCAGCATTACCCGGAGATCGGTAAATTTCTCTCCACTGTACAAGTCAGTGCATATTTCATATTTTCATGAGGAGATTGAATGGATGAAATTTGGCCTTCTGTTTTTAGTGATAGAATGTGGAGATCAATCGACCACTCGTTTTTTTTATACTTTCTTTAGTGGTACTTTTGAGTAAGTTGTCATAATATGTAGAAAGTGAATGATGAATTTTATGGTATGTTATATCTCATCCTGAAACCTTAATGAATCTTATGTTTGTGTTAGTATTACAAAACGCCTGGAGGAGATTTACGAGATTCGGATCCCCATCAAAATTGCATAATGAATCTCCTGTATAGATGACGCTAAATGATTGCTCTTGACAAAATAGTGTTCACTCGGGTTAACATAAAACAACCGACCGAAATGAGTCCTAGCTGAAAATTCTTTACCATGCCATCGATTCGTCCACACACTATACCTCTGAACCTGAGTTAGGCGATAAAAGTACATCGCAGTAAGAGCTATTTCAAACACCGAATACCTGTACAATCACTGAGATAATCAGATTAGATGAACTCATATAGAAGACATATGACGAATTTAATCGAAATCTATCTGAATGGGGAGCCGAAGAGATTGACATTCCGAGTCAGATCAACGAAAGAGTATTGGTCCTGACGATTGTGTCTCCACAGCTCCTACTTCAATGAATCAAGAATATTTACCAACCACCTCACAGTTGAGTGATCTGGAGAATTTACCATATCTGGTATTTTGTGTATTGGAGCATCGTGTTTGTATCCTACGTGGACTGTACAAAAGCGACATTGTTCAGGTGGACACAGCAATTTGTTCATGCACATCCATGCTATTGAATGGTTCATCTTATATCTTCTTTAATATATTTGTCAGTTGTTCCTCGCTTTATCCTGTGAAATCTATCTCACATTTCAGCTGAGGGAATTTCTTGTCACTGGGTAGACAGAATTACTGGACATCCATCACTATGGTCTGATTTATTCAGTAGTACCAAAGTTATGCAATCAGGACAGCAGTTTGAAATGGTTTGCATCATCACACCAGACTGTAGCTAGATCTCTCTGTCTGTCTGATTATATTCTCAAATTGGGCTTTCCAGTTAAGCTCATCAATTTATCGCGTTTCGCCAAACAATTTCGTCTGGCTTCTTACGATTCTCATATGAATTGGTGACAGTGATTCAATGGAATAATAATTGAACTCACCTCTTCTCATCTGGAGAAGGAAAGACTGTGTTCCCTGCTTGTAAGAGTCAGATACTTTCTTAGGTTGATAGTGACACTAACTATTCCCCTTTTCGAAACTGGAACAACATTCCTCGATCTGTACATAATTCGTATAGAATGTTTGCGTTTCCTGAGACAATCTGTTTAGGTTGATGGGATCGAGGAAACTACTGCATCAGTACACTTGAGAGTGAATCATTTGATTGTAGGTCAGGAGCGAGATAAATCTGATTTCGTTGAAGAATCAAGAATCAAAACACCCTGGAATATTCACGTATTCCCAAACGATTCCTGTAAATACGCATTTTCGCATTTCTTTCAGCGAGCATGATGAACAACATTGAAAAAGCATTGAGTTCACCACTTCTCGCCTTTACTGCAGCCATCTCACTGCTTTGCCTCATTTGATTGTAAATAAATTTAAAGAGACGACAGGTGAAACAGAACGGAGCCACCTGGTCATCAATCCAACAGAATGACTCACATTTAATCTAAATTCGATTGTTTTGACTATTCATATGTGTCACTGAGATTCAAAATGTACTCACTCACATGCCCCTTTTTTATTAGATCTAAAACTACTGCAAAGCAGTTATCAAAGAAGAATTGGAAACATAAATAGGGATTAGCTTACTATTCAGGTCAGGCAGCATATACG